TTCCGATGTGGATTTCCCTTTACCACTTGGATCCTTGGCCGAATCCCTCATGTCCTGTAAACACCATCGTTTGAACTGAGAAAATTGCTGCAACAGTGATAGAAAATCCCTTTGTCAGTTAAAGCAGCTCTCAGTTGGGAGCATTTTATTTCAACGATCGTTAGACCATACCCCTGCTCGACTGTTAATAATTCAAATTTGTTGATGTGAATTTGACCTGCATATGAAATTCAGTTTAAATAGTTTATTTGGCTTTCCCAATTGAGATGAAATATTCCGAAATTGGTTTTAGCAGTAATATTGCCGGAAAACAGATGGTTCATGGAATATTCCAAATAATATCGCCACTGCAATAGGTATTTAGGTTTGCATTGTTCTGTTAAAGAGAATAGAAATTGTAAATTGCTCAATTAAGGGCAATTATGATATTTTGCAAATTAATTAAACGACATCTAAGAATAAAAGTATAACTACACACAAAATGTAAAAAATAAAGAGGTTTTTATGATTTTTAAATATTTCAGGAGAGATTTTTATATTTTATTCTTTTCTTTCAAATTTTAATAAGGGGTTGGTTTAATTTGAGAAAAGCCTTTTACAAAATGGCATATAAACAGGTGGCCGATACAATAAGATACAGTCGATACAGGACATATCGTGCCGAAATGGGTGCCAATTACCTTGGTACCCAACATGCCTTTTTCTCATCTGTAACACTTGGGCGGGCCCATGGATTTTGGACTGAGGAGTTCAATTCAATACTAAATAGTAAATACCTGATAAGACTGGAGTCTATTCTGGAACTGATCAGTGAAGACCGTGTCGAGTACTTGAATTGAATGTTGAAAATTATAGGAAGGAAGAGAAACAATTCACTTTTTCTTTATCATAGATTTTTCCTTTATACTAATAACTACGTGTAATTTATACATTTTTTTCATATTAATTATTTGAATTTTAGATATATCAAAATTGAAAATTAATAAAAGTAATAATATGGTAAAAAATAAACTTTTATACTTGTAAAAATTTTAAATTATAATAACAATTATTATTATTATTATTATTATTACCACTACTACTACTACTAAATTTTGTATTCCATTTCTATCTTAAATAAAAATAATTTTTATTTTAATAATTAGTTTTATTTAATAAGATGATTATATAACATTAGAAATGTTCCAAAATGTCTTTGACAAAATTCTATACTTTATTTATCTTTTGTGTTCTATCTTTTTTTTAAAACATTTATTATTCAATTATGACATCATGAATTTCTTTGAAAAGTTTGATCATTGATTAATTCATTTGATCCAAACCACTAACCCACAATCCAAAAACAAAAGTAGTTTGATTTCTAGTAAATTTTATATTATATTTCCATTATTGATAAAATTATATCTTATGTATAATATTTATTTTTGTTCAATATAATGAATGTATAATATTATATATGTATCCAATATTTTATTTTTCATAAATATATACCATTATATCTTATGCATAATATTTATTTTTGTGATTCTTTGTATTTTCTATTTTTAAAAATTTTATTATTTGACTATGACATCATTCCATTTTTAGGTTGATTTTAATTTTAGCATTCCATTTTCATCGTTTACAAATATGCTTCTTACATTTCATACTTATTTTTGCTTAGTATAATGAATATACAATATTAACGACATGCCCAATTATTATTTTTTGTATTTATTTAATCTTTTATTATTTAATTATGGCATTATTTATTAATGGATTTGACCCCAAATTGTTGAATTGCTTACCCACCACCAAGAGGGAAGAAAATGGTTTTGTTTTCAAATTATTTTTTAAAATATTTATTTTTATATTATTAAAATTAATGTTGTGGATTTATTTAGTATAATTTAATGATGAGAAAAATATATCTGAAATGTATGATTTAGTAAGAGAATATACCTTAGATATGAGATTTAATGAGAGATAATAGGAAAATAATTTTACTTCCAATTGGTTTTAAATTTTACATTTCATTTCCATCATTAATAAAAACATTTCTTATTTATCATCAATGTTTTCAATTTGTTGTTGACCTGGCCGATTGAACTGTTCGAATCATCACTTGGCTTTAATTCTAGGTATGATTCTATTAAAACTCCCCCTTTTGGTTAAAAATGTCTAAGTTGAGCGGTTAAACCATTGACCCGTTTGACTCAATAACCAAGTCGCAGGTTGCACACTTAATTATGTGTAAACTTTTGGAAGCCATAACTTTGCACTCCGATGTCCGATTGGGGTTATCTTTTTTTTTTAATTTTGAGTAACTTTTTATGTTCCAAAGGCATTATGCATATTGCCTTACTATTTTTGTGAAAAAAAACCCATTTTTTGGCCCCAAATTACAATTCTAATATTTTTTTATAAATAAAAATTTAAAATGAAATTAAAAACATAAATAAATGTAACATAATACATATGTTATATGTAATCTATGTAAAACATAACTATGATATATGTAAGACATAATTAAATTATTTATTGATAAAATATGTATTTTTACACACACAGATACATAGTATTGATGCATAGAGATTTGACTCGTTAGACCTTGATAGTCGAATTGGTGACCTGTGACTTGAAGGCAAAAGCGAGTTGGCCTCCAGGTAAGTTTTTAAAACATTGTTTATCATACTTATTATTGTTTAATAATTCAAATATATGATGTTAAAAACATTCTATTTTTTAATTTATATATATTTTTTGTATTTTATATATTTTTCAATTTTATTATTTAATTGTGGCAACATGGATTGACCCATTTTACCCAAATGGTTCAATTTCCTACCACCATTTAGATGAAAACACTATTTTTTCTAGGTAGATTTTAAAAGTATAAGTTTTATGTTATTGAAATTATTAATTTATTATGTATGTATTTAATTATAGAATTTAATGATGAGAAGAAACAAAGAAGCGTTAAATATATGATTTTAAGGAAGATGAATGCAAATTAATACCTTAAATGTTGGATTTAGTGAGAGATAATTAAATGCATTGAATATCTTAAAAATAACTCCTTTTAACTCATTTAATATCAATAATTAATTACCCTATTTGCCCTTATTTTTTATCAATAGATTTAAATATAGAGGGGTAAATTTCGTCATTACAAAATTCCAGAAATATTCTTAAGGCTATTCGTGCTTTTTAAAGTAGTATAGATTTCACCCATTTTCACAAGCTCAAATTCGTCCGAGTCATTTAGTGGGTGCAATCCAGTCCAGTCCAGGTATGGAATCAGTTGTGTCATATATACATGAAGGGGCCTAGAATGGTGGAACGGTGGAACCTAAAAAGACTCAGAACTAATGCATATAAAATAGTGTTTGGACCGAGCCCGAGCCATTGATACTAGCTTGAAGAGAGTAGGACTAGGCCCAAAGAAGAGCATTCGTTTGTACGACGTAACTTCATAACAGAGCAAGGCTAAGTCTATAACCGTGAAGTAAAAGTCGGGTCACTGGGCACTGGCTAGAAGTTGTGGCACCACTCAAGATTGAAATATGGAAAATTCCCCATTTTTCCATATTAAAAATTATATTTAAAATATAAAATATTAATATATATATCCATGCTTAGGTCGTTCGATTTTGGTCGGTTTACAAATAGCCAAAGTGAAATAATCCAACTTGGTTGAATTGGGGAATTTTTGAACCAAGGCCAACCTAAAGTACTAGAAAACTAATGAACTCGGATTGAGTTGATCTGGTTGGTCAGTTTTATCAGTTTGATGAATAAATCTAATTGAAATTAATTATTGTTATTTTTGTATTATAAAAAAAATTATTAAAAGTAGTATATAAAAATATAAAACAATTGTATACTCTTATGCGTTTCAATTAGGGTCATTTATTAGAACACACATTATAGTTTTACATATTTACTTAAACCTACGTCATAGTTTTTATTTTACTAAAACATCAATTTATTTAAATGAACATTAGGGTCAATACTATCATTTCCACTATCATCTAATAGAAGATTGATTAAATCCATTGCAAATTATAAATGGTGTTTTAGTAAAATGCTAACTATATGATAGATTTCAATAAATCCATGAAACTATAACGGGTATTTTAGTAAATGATCCATTCTATTATTTAGCTTTGGCTTAATAAATCCCATGCATCTCATAGGTCCCCACTAGTAAAATTTCAAACTAGTATAGATTTAGCCAATTTGCACAAGCTCAAATTCATCGGAATCATTTAGTGGGTCCAGTCCAGTCCGTTGTGTCATATATACCCGAAGGGGCCTAGAACGGTGGAACGGTGGAACCTGAAAAGACTCAGAACCGGTGCATATAAAACAGTGTCATATATATCCAAAGGGGCCTAGAACGGTGGAACGGTGGAACCTGAAAAGACTCGGAACCGGTGCATATAAAACAGTGTCTAGACCGAACCCGAGCCATTGATACTGGGCTTGAAGAAAGTAGGACCAGGCCCAAAGAAGAGACATTCGTTTGTATGACGTAACTTCAGAACAGAGCAAGGTTAACTCTGTAACCGTGAAGTAAAAACCGGGCACTGGGCACTGGCTAGAAGCTGTGGCACCACTCAAAATTGAAATGGTTGGAGGCATGCAACGTAGGGTTCCAGAGAAGATCCAAATAGTAGTGGGCCAGCTTGTGATAAGAACCACCCACGTGTACTGAGTTAATCCATGAAATTCTCTCACAAAATATCTCTCATCCACTGTAAAGTCGCCACGACGGAATTTCAGACAAATGTAATCTCTGCTCCGCCACCAGCCACGTCACTACCTGCTCGTCAAGACCACTCGTTCCACACATACCCACATACGCGTCTCGTTTTCAGCCGTTGAGTTCAAAGGCCGAGAGCTCCCAGACCGTCGATCCCCAAAACAGAGTTTGTGGACACCGTAATTTCTACATTTTCAGGTATCACATATACATGTATATATTCGACGATGACGCATCTTTTTTCCCCCCTCAACTCAACTCAGAAAGATTAAGATCCTTTCTCTGCTCTGTATCTGTGATCTGTAATTAAATTAACACATCAACAATCTCCTTCTCCCAACCCAGAAGTACGAATCTTCCACTCGGATCGGATTAGTTGGTCTTCCCTCCAATTTCCAGCAGGTGTGCATTCTTTATTTCTTTCTTTTTTTCCTTCCAATTTCTACTTTTCTATTTAATTCTTTTGCAAGTTTCTGGTGAAAGTAGGTTTCGATAAAAAGGAAGAGATCCTCCGGAAATCTTTATGCAATCTCTCCTAGTCGCCTTTCGTAGAAAAGAAAACAGAGTACTGATATTATTTTGAAATTTTTGTTATACCTTCGAACTTGCGCCGGTAGCGCGAGGGATACTGAATGATGGACGGCCGTTGGGCTGATTTCTGTCTGACTGGTCTCTGCAAACTTCTTAGTCTTTCTTTACTGTAATCTGGGTATGGAGACGGATGTGTGCCCTTCACGTGGGCGCACTTCATCAAAGGATGGATGAGTGTAGGTTAACTAACTGTAATGGACTAAGTGGTCTGTGATTAATGGTCCAACCAATGTGTTAGGATTAGTATAGTGTTTCGTAGTTGTAGGGATGGATCATTGTATCACAAAGATCGATCATGTTTCTTCCCCATTCACTGGTGCCGCCTGACTTGCTCTTGCTGCAAGAATGTGGTGGCTACTGGCTAGGCAAGCTATGGTCTTGCACTAGCACGGGGGTATAAAATATTAATACTTATTACAGTATGGGAATATAATCAATTGGAAGCATTACACCATTCGTTTGTCAAGAGATTGTACACCAACTTAGAAGGAATTAGTTTCATTATAGCTTTTGATATAAGTTATAAAATATGGCAGGATTCATGTAGCTGACCGACCCCATAGGGGAAGGCTTAGATTATGATGATAAGGATGATATGTCATTAAATTTGTCAATACAAATTCATCGTTTGATATAGAGTCATCACCAGAATAATAGAAATTAAGTTACTCCGGTTCTATTTTAGTTAATGTTTTGGTGATGATTCCATTTTAAGAGGACTCCAAATTCTTTCAAAAATCCAAATAAAACAGTTTCTTTCCAGGTAGCTCCAACACGTGTTGAATGTTTATCAATCGATTCAACTAATAGCTGTTCCATACCATCTTGATTTCATTTCATGCAATTGAAGAAATGAAAGAGAAAAAAAGGTTTTCTTTGGTCTAATGGAGCTCGGGGTTGGAAATTGAATAAAATTCTATTCCTTGGTTATCCCATTGATTTATCCACCAAAACTACAACAAATCTGAAGGCTAATAGGTTATGTGACGTCATTTTTGTGGGGCAAAGTGGAATTCAGAATCCAATTTCCTTTCCCATTTCTGTTTCCAACTTACCCATAAAAAAGTTCTGTTTCTGATTTAATCCCAATCTCTCCAAATTTTTATTTTATTATTTGGTTAATTAGATGAGGGCAGTATTTCATACTCTCTCTAAATGGATGAAGTCTCCTTGTTGGGCACCAATTGGATTCTGATACTCCAGGTTCTTGAAGATTCTTAAGGAGGCACTTGTACATATGGTTTTCCTTGTTCTCATTATTAACATAAATGAACATCTACTCTACATAATTTTTCCATACTCCATCTTCTGTAGGTATATGATGAAATAATCCACAAAATAGAGAAAATTTTCACTAGTAAATCTTGATTTTAGATGTGCCACCAAATCCTTTTTTTCCATATTGCCAAGTCAGACCCCAAAACATGTTTTTCTCCATATTGAACTCCTTTGAAGGTAGTAATATAAATCTCAAGAGAGGAATTCAATTTCCCGGTTCAATTTCTATTTCCTCTTCCACAGGTTGATTTATATTAGTCTCGTGAAAATTTTCAAAGAATTGAGCCAGAGGCCAATCCAACTAATGGTTTGGTTATGTTGAGTGCTATCATATTTCCAAAGTAACCTGGGGTTGAAGCAGTGCCCTAAGGTTGCTCTCCTTTCAAAATTCAACCGGCAGACTTTTCTGAAAATTTTCTTTAATAAAATTTTGTTTTTGCCTTCAATAAAAAGATTAAGCTACTCAAGCACTTGTTTCCATGGTCAACCTGTCAAATTTTACTGGTTAGTCTGTATCTGCAACCGTATTTATGGAGTACATAACCTTGACTTAGTAAAAACTATATTTTGCAGGCTTTGGAAGACAAATAAGTTTTATTCATCCAGCACTTTTTTTGCCTGGACATATTGGCATGGGAGTTGTTACTGTTTCTAGTTCGTCTTCTCAAACTCCATTAGGCTTGAGCTCAAGGTTCTCAGTGCACCAGACTCAATTGAAGAGACCATTGATCTTGGCCTTCAAAACAGATAAAGCCAAGGACAGAGCATTGGTTACACACCATGAGCCCATCCCATTACCAATGGACACTCCCAAAGAAAACCAGAAGAGGCTAAGGAGAGCCACAAAGCCTTCTAAAAGAGTAAAAGTTGTCTGTTCTGATGAAGCTTCTTCATGCACCATAGAAATGGATTACAATGATGTTGCGGCCAAACTTGAAAGTATATATAAACTTAGTCCCCCAACAGATGTTTCTGATGTGGATGACACTGATCGTGTGGGCAGGAGGCGTCGTCGGACAAGAAAAAAGCTTGGAGAAGCTGATCGCAAAACTGGAAAAGAATCAAGTGATAATGTGATAAGGAACCACAATAAGAATAAGCGGTTGAGTCTTGATAGGAGGATTGCATTGAGAAGGAAGAAGGAGGAAGGGGCAGTTCAATTGAGTGGGGTGAAGGAAGGTAGCAAGGAGGATGGAGATGTTGACAAGCTGGTTGGAGAATATTCTGTTTCAACTGATTTGGCCAGCTTGGATTGGAAGAAGATGAAGATACCACCAGTTCTTCCTTCTTCTGAGCATGCTTGGTTATTCAAGTTGATGCAACCTATGAATGTGAGCTCTTCCCATTCTTGTCTCTTTTATTTCCTTGCTATTATCCTTTCTTGGTCCCAAAAATGGGAATTCAATGTATATCTTTTCATGTAACATAAACTGTTAGTCTTTGGTTTCTAATTTCTGTTGGCTTGAATTTTAGGCACTCTTTCAAATGAAGGAGAATTTGCACAGAGATCTGGGAAGAGAACCAACTGATGGTGAATTAGCAGATTCAACAAATATGAGTGTATTTCAAGTGAGAAGGTGTATAGAAGTTGGTCGAGCTGCAAGGAACAGGCTAATTAAGGTATTTTACCTCTTCTTGGCTTCCCCACTCACTTCAGGAGCTAGATTACTAAGGGTTTAAAATGCACTCCTGGATCTTATTTCAATGTATCATGACTTTTCCCTTAAAATTTTTAATTTAGATATTCAGGTACATGTATATAATTGTATTTTGAGCTCCATATGTGGTTCACTTGGATTAATGCAACATGCAATTTAAATTCTAGCATAACCATTATAAAAAAGAGAAATTAGGGTTTTGCATCTCTGAAGATTTCCAAAATATCAAAAAGATGCCTTATTTAGTTAGCAACCTCATATGGAAAAGTATTTATTTTGCTACTGTGAGGTTGTGACCTAACTTATAACTTAGCTACCAAGATAACAGTTACACTCTAGAAGTTCATTAGTTTCAGTTTCTTAGCAGAAACCATGTGATGCAAATACTAATATTCTCCACCAAATTTGTTGCAGCACAATCTTCGATTAGTTTTATTCGTAATCAATAAGTATTTTCAAGAGTTTGCGAATGGACCAAAATTCCAAGACCTTTGCCAAGCAGGAGTAAAGGGACTCATCACAGCCATTGACCGCTTTGAACCAAAAAGGAGGTTCAGGCTATCCACTTATGGTCTATTCTGGATCAGGCATGCTATCATGCGATCTATGACACTCTCAAGCTTCACACGTGTCTCCTTCGGCCTTGAATCGGTATGTTCATTTTAGCTCTAAGATTTACTGAACTTTTTTTTCAATTTAATACCATATAACTATAATCATTTCAAGCCATAAACATTCACTGAATAATATTTCTGTTCTTTCTAGGTCAGATGTGCAGTTACATAGTATTTATCAATTTCTGCTTTGTTATAATTTAATTTTGTATTCATCCAAAGAAAAGTTCGTAATTTTTATTCAAGAGATTTCTCTCTACCAAACCTATATCATATTTGTATTTTGTAGTGAATATGTTTGTAGTTTTCTTATTATATCCTTCTCATAAACATCTACCATCAGGGGTAGAAAGGAGAGGGCCCATATCCCTCTCCCAAAATTTTGGAAACATCTTTAACACACTATTTTCATGGATGTTCCTATCTTTAATATACACTTGTGATGGGAGTTTGGCCCCAACCTAATAGAGTGCCTCAAAAAGAAAAAAAAAAAACAGAAGAAAAGAAAGAATTGCCCCTGGTTACTACCTTATTACTTACATAACTTCTGAGATTTATATAGTATAAGAATTCTATGTTTCAATTTCACCTTCAAGTGTTGCTAATCTCTTTGGCTTCTGACTTCCGGTTACATTTACTATTTTTTTTTGGGGGGGGGGGGTGGGGGTGGGGATGGAAGACTCTGACATAACAGGGATGTAACTATTTATTGTGCAGGTCAGAGTAGAGATTCAAAGGGCCAAACTAGAGTTAATGTTTGAGCTTGAGAGGCTTCCAACAGAGGAAGAGATAATAAAGAAAGTAGGAATCTCCCCAGAGAGATACCATGAAGTCATTAAGGCCTCTAAACCTGTCTTTTCTCTCCATTCAAGACATGCAATTACACAAGAAGAGTTCATAAATGGAATCACTGACATCGAAGGTGTTGGAGGTGATAAACGGAGGCAACCTGCCCTTCTCAGGCTTGCTCTTGATGATGTGGTAATCATCTATTCCTTAACTTTGATCCTAAATTATGCCATTGAACTGCTAAACAATTTGTTTGTTGATGGACTATCTGCTCCATTTTGACTTTCACTAGATAAGTAAGTTAAACAAATGGTTAAAAACATATTACATTGGTTATTCGAGTCTTTCTTTTTAATTCATTGTAGGATCAATGCAGCCTGGTTGCCAGTAATATTCTGTTACATCTCTGATATAGGATGGATAGACAACCTTCTTACAAACATTTAACAGGTATTAAAGGTTGAAGAAAGGTTAGATCAATAAAATTTATGCTTTCTAATAGGTAGAATTATCATTCCAATCAATATTTAGAACAAATATGTAGAAGAGAAGAAAAACTAGGAAAGAAAAAGAACAAAAAAATAGTAAAAGAGAGAGAGAAGGTCCCAAGGACTTCTCTGAAGCCTTGTTGAGAGCCAAAAAAGATATTAAGCAGAATATCTCAATTCAAACTTTAATAGGGAACCTGAAGAAGAGAGAGAATATAGAAAAGAGGAAAGAGAGAAAATAACAAGTAGAGAGCATACGGGGAATATTTTAACATTTCAAGAAGCTCTTTTAATTTTTAGTCTCTTTATCTTGCCTTTTACTTAAAGTTGTTTTTTTTTTAAACAAAATGACCTTTCTTTGGCATCTATTAACCTGTTCAGGTGTCTATTCGAATAGATGCTCGTGGGTTTATTATAAATACATGGGCGTATAGCTACTAGATACACAAAATCCTTCTCTTCCCCTACAGCATTCTGGCAGAATTTTTAATAGTTTTCTGCATGCATTTTTGCATTCCATCTGCATAATCTCAGTTGGAGATTGCTGTAGGTTGCCCAAGACCTAGTCTTGTAATAGACTTGATCCAAAAGAGGTGAATTAGACAAAAAAATGATAAAAAACTCTATTATTAATAAAATGAACATATAAATACTATATATTATGAATAAAATGAACTAAAAATGACTTTGATATTGTATTTTATGAACAAAATGAATTGAAACTTAATTGTATGAAACTTGAACCTATTATAATTTAATAAAAACTCAACATTCAAACCAACTTTACTATATAAATTTTAAGTATGTGCGAGTATACATATTTAAGTTGAATCTGATCCGATTATAATGGATCAGATAGGGGTGGATCCATATTTGGTCCAATTATAAACAGATTGAACTGGGATCACCCTTAATGGGATCGAATTCGAAATCAGACAATTGGATACCATTTACACCCTATGTCCATATCACTTTGAAATTTCAAACAAAAATTTTGACAATTACCTAGTTAACAACTTACAATGGCCAAATCCAACATAAAAAATGTAAACGAGAAAGTAACCCCTGTCTCGAAAAAAAAAAAAACAATAAGGAAATAAGAAATAGAAAATTCCTATACCCGACTTTGGGAGTTAGGACCACTTTGATGCCCTCGTCAATCTCTTGGTCCGGTTTGCTTGAATGATTTCATCGTAAGGCTATTGCTGTTTTTCCATACTTGTTTCAGAGACTTGGAACAATATTCAAGAATTTCAGTAAAAGGGTCATTACCCTGTGTTGATCCTGGCTATCCAGGTTCTTCGGAGGGGTGGTCGGGATACAGACCTCCTTACAGCCTTTTCTTGCACAAAGTGGCCGATGGCCCCTAATCTTTAAGATTTTCGGCAAAGAAAAATGACAGAAGGCTCAGTACTAAAATAATGTTGTCTTTCTATTCTTTCCCAGCTCGACTCTCTGAAGCCCAAGGAGAGCTTGGTGATCAGGCAGAGATACGGTCTGGATGGAAAAGGAGATCGAACATTGGGAGAGATTGCAGGAAACCTAAACATATCAAGAGAGATGGTGCGAAAGCATGAAGTGAAAGCTCTCATGAAACTTAAGCACCCAACTCGAGTTGACTATCTCCGCAGATACATTTTCTAAAGTGTGAACAACATACTGATTTGTAATATTGGAAGCATCCCCCACTGCTTCTTCATTTATAGTTGGCCTTTCTTTGGCCTATTGCCCTTCTAATTATTGTTGTTGTATACTAAAGATTTGTATCATATATACGTTAATTACATGAAGAAAGGAATTGTTGTAACATATAGTTTACATTGAAGACCAAGGTTGTATACTACCAAGTACATTTTATTCGGTACTAAAATAATAACTCTTGTACAGATAATATTTTCCTTTGTAAAATACACAGATAATCATGTATAAAGAACACTTCACACTGGTTCGTTTTGCAACTGTAAGTAGCTTCATGTGTTTTTAATTATTTTAACAGCCGTGTTCGTGCTAATCTCGAAATTCTGTATTCTACGCACATGGTTATATGGGTTCTTACCACTAAAAGTTCAGTTGATTTTTGTTGGAGTAGAACAGCATAAGATTACGTTGCGGATACGAGTGTCAATTGGATTGGATTTTGTCTAGTCCGATCCAGTCAATGTGAGTCCATTACAAATGGATCAGGTATGAATATATCTGTTCAAATTCGTTTTAATTTAAATTGGTTTCAACCTAAACCCAGTCCATTAATATCTATATTATTATCTTATATTAATGGATCAGATATTGGCTTAATCCAATATAAATAAATTTATTATGGATGAATCATGGGATTCAGTCTAAAACCGGTGCTTTTTTTGAGGAGATATGTAAAAAGCTGAAAATAATAAATTGAGGAGATATTTGGAACCAAGGTGCTTTTTTTGAGAAAATAGTGTTGCATTGTTATGTCGTTTTTTCATAAATTGTTTTTTTTTTTTCTTTTATTCAGCACCATTGCCACATATTCATTTTTCAATGCCACATCAACATACTGTTGCTAATAACAGTAAAAAAAATGAAAAAATATCAAACATGACATTTTCTCGTATCACATCTTTTTTCATTTCAAGGCATGGTGGCTTGTTACGTATCACCACACGTCAGGCATGGTAAAAAAATGGCATCGGTTCCAAACACGAGTTTAGAAACGTATCACCACACATTTTTTTACCATGACTGATGTATGGTGATACATTTTCCTAACAAGCCACATGGTTGTTGGGATGCTTTGTTGGAATCAAATCTACACTCATCACATGCACAAATACTGTTTTACACGAGTTTGCATTTTTCTCATAAGTCATACCCACCTCACAACCTATTACAGTTGAGTTGAGTCCGGATCTGCTCCTAATAAAGCGCTCCTCACATTAACCTCACAGCACCTCCTGGCACTCGAACATTTTTCAATAAGGCTGCAACTTGGGTTGGGTTGGCCCGAACCCAATCATAACCTAGTTTGAAAAAGTTGGGATGGGTTGGGTCGGGTTGATGTTCGGGTTAGGTTAGGGTTAAAATTCATGAGTCCGACTTTGCTTCGGGTTAGGTAAGGATTGACCCCTTAGCCAAACTGACCCAACTTGAACCCAACTTTATAGTACATGTCATATATCAATATATGTTATACATTGATTTGTTTAGATGCATAATATTTGTATAGCCCCCACCCTTTAATATCATGTATTTTTTTTAAGATAATTACTTCACTTAATTCTAATAAGAAAGACTAAAACCTTAATAACACTATTTTATGTTTTTTGAAAATTTTATTCTTCATCTCCTCTATGTTGTTTTCCGCCTAAGAAAGATCTATCGTAAGTCATAACTCATAATAAACTATAGTCATTTCTGACACTTTTTTTTTCTGAATTTTGTACCAAAAGAATTAAAAAAAAAATGTCAACAAACAAATACTAATGAAACATAGGATTAATATATGTAGTGAGAGTTGAGTTAAGAACTAAAATTGAGAAATTCTATGAGGTTTTAAGGGATGGGAAGAAGGTTGGGTTGGGTTAGGGTTGAAGGAATTTAGTTAGGGTTAGGGTTAGGGATGGGGTTTAGAACTTAAGGTTGGGCTAGGGTTGGCCTCAACCTGACCTAACCTGGCCCGACTTGCAGCCCTACTTCTCAATACATGGTGGGATGTGGCTGTGAGATCAGTGAGAATAGAGGAGAAGATCCCAATTCATTGCAGTTGCACATTGCTCAACTTTCATTACATATATTAATCCTATGTTTTATTAGTATTTATTTGTTGATGTTTTTATTGGTTTTTTAAGTACAAAATTCAGAAAAAAAGTGTTTGTCCTAAACCAGGGATGGAGAAAACATTTTTGTCTTAAACCAGGGATGGGGCAGGGATAGGAGTTGCATTCCTCGAACCCAATGGTAAATTAATAGATTTAATATTGATTTTTAGAATATCTCTAAGTTTCCCCCAAATTCTTGAAATCCTAGGATCCCATAAGTCTATTTCTAAAGTATTGCCAAATTGTCATAATCCAATTCCTAAAAACCCTTGTAAAATATCCACAAATTAGATTATTTTTAGGTGGTTGCCTTGGAGTGGGAAAATTTTGGGGATTCCCCATCCCAATGGGGAGTGGGTGTCTCGTCTAGAACCTGCCCCGCCACTGGGGACAGGGCAGGGTAAGGCTGCAACTTGGGTCGGGTTGGCCCGAACCCAACCCGAAAAAGTTGGGTTGGGTTGAGGTTCGGGTTGAAATTCATGAACCCGACTTTACTTCGGGTTGGGTTAGGGTTGACCCCTTAGCCAACCCAACCCGACCCGAATCCGACTCTATAGTACATGTTATATATAAATATATGTTATATGTAATATATAACATACATTGATTTGTTTAGATGCATGATATTTATATAGCCCCCACCACATAGTATCATGTATTTCTTTTAAGATAATCACTTTACTTAATCCTAATCAGAAAGACTAAAACCTTAATAACATTATTTTGTGTTTTTTGAAAATTTTATTCTTCATCTCCTCTGTGTTGTTTGCCGCCCAAGAAAGATCTATAGTCATTTCTAACACTTGCTTTTTTGAATTTTGTACTAAAAAAAAAATAACGTCAACAAACAAATACTAATGAAACATAGGATTAATATATGTACTAAAAGTTGAGTTAAGATTTAAAATCGAGAAATTCTATGAGGTTTTAAAGGATGGGAAGAAGGTTGGGTTGGGCCCAACCCAACCCGAAATTGACTTCGGGTTGGTTTGGGTTGGGTTAGGGTTGGGTTGGTCGGGGTGGGTTAGGGTTAGGATTAGGGCTGGGGTTTAGAACTTAGGGTTGGGCTAAGGTTGGCCTCAACCCGTCCCGACTTGCAGCCCTAGGGCAGGGATTGGGTAGAGTATCTTGACTTTGGAGCAAGGATGGGGAGGGGGTGCCCCACCCCAAACCCGTTGCCATTCCTAGCTTTAATCGAGTCAAATTCGATTGGTATGTATCTTAGATCAAATTTGAATACCATATATTATTAAAACTCCATTTGAAAATAGTACAAATACAAATATACAAGGTTTATGAAAATGACAGCATTTGTATTTGCATTGAGCATATTTACATTTACACTCTTCCCAAATGAGCCTAATAGATTGAGTTCAAAATAACCACAACATTATATTTTACTAATAAAATGATCTAAAATTAACTTCAGTGAGACTTCAGTTTATTAGGTTTCAATGGAAAAATATATATTTGGACCAACTTTATCAATATATATATATATATATATATATATATATATATATATATATATTAATTTATAAACACATGCATACATATTAATATTATTGGATTTGGAATATTCTAACTGGAAATAGGATTGGGTTGATCCAGATCCAATCCAATTATAAACAGATCTATTTTTTTTAGTCCAAAAACAATTTGATTGAATTGAATTTCAAACTCAGACTTAGGTAATCGACTATCATTGACCACCCTACTTGTTCATAGCCAGACCCATGTCTGTTGGGACTAAGCCATAGGTCGAAAGTTTGGTTCTTAGAACAGGATTGTAGCCAATATTGATCGTCCCAATTTTGGACATGCCATTAGAAAGTTGTGATCATACCCATGTCTATTGACTTGTCAACTAGAGGACCAAAGTTCAATAATAACAACAATAATAATAAAACTATGTTTTAATATGATTCTAAGTAAGATATAGAATTGTTAAAAGAATTAAATATGCATGTATCGTGCATAAAATCAACATAATATAGTTAATACTTAAAAATACTAATTTTAGTAATTAATTAATTGTTATCTTTCTTTTTTTTTCAATCTTTATAAATCTCATTAGTATTCAAAATCCATTTCTATTAACAATTAACATGTATTGTAGTTTAGCGGGTGGAATTTAAAGCTCAAAAATTTCAGATCATGCTCTATATGCATATACGATACATGTGGAATGGCAACAAAACTCAAATCATTTCATCCATGCCATGCGTCGAGCCCATGCCTAAAGATATTTTGAGACATGCTGGGATGCATACAAATATAGATATGTAGAGTGCAAAAACCTTGTACTTTGTATTATTTTGTATCTATTTATATTTGTACTTCTAAATTGAACGTAAGGATTCATGTCGGGTGGGCTGGGCTGGGCAAGTTGAAATCAACCCAGGCCCTATCCTAAGAATAAGGTTAAAGGTCAATCAGCTCAGGTTGGATCAAGGTTGTGTTAAGGTTGGGTTTAGTTCAGTTTACCTTAGGCCTAGGTCTGGGTTCATCCCAAAAATAAGAAAGCCCAAAATTTGGAATCTCCGAGAACCAAAGATCCAAGTCCAATTGGCAATCCATTTAAAATTACGGACCGAATCAGTTCGGGCTCAGATTGGGCCTTGTCCTACCAATTGGCAATCGCCGTCTGATGTAAACATTACTTTCAATTTACAAGCTCAACCAAATTACCCCAAAGCTTAGACGCGTCAACTCAATTCTTTGTTTTTTTTTTTTTAATGTTTTTATATTTTTTAATTTTTCTTCTAAGATTTTTTTTTAAATATCTTTCTAAGTTATCCTTTTTTTTTGTCCTCAAACTTTACTCCAGGTGGAGGGGCGGCCACTTCAAATTTTATTAATCATTATCAAATGAAAAATCAGAATATACAGGAGAGGACATAGCCCGCCTTGCCTCATGCCCAATACAAAAAGCACTCATCACCACCCTCTTAAAACCCACCCCAACAAGGAAATTAAAAAAAAAAAAATACAATCAGATTTATCCAATTCTCA